CCGTATTGAAGCTTCAATACGGCCGTATTAAGTTCAGTACGGCCGTATTGGGCTTTTTCCCTCCACTTCTTTATTTTGAGCTATTCTAAGACCTCTAGACCTACAGAGAACCCTCCTAGGGCCTTCGCGGAGTCCTTCTGGCTGATTATCCTTCAGTCTTCGAGAGTCTTCAAGCTTTATTTCCGACCCGGACAATTTTAGGGGTCTACAAGGACGAACTCATTAAAAAGTGAAGTATCATGAAATAGCATCCTTGAGAGGCCAAATATGAGGGTATTAATTTGATTCGGGTCTAATCAACAAACCAATTATTCCCCCCTCCACAAGGTGAGGTTAATAGGTCGCAAGCATAAAGTAAAGGTTAGAGTCTTAGAATTTTATTTTTATAATTTTTTTAATAAGTATTTATAAAAATTTAAAAAATTATAAACTAAAAATAACTTATACATACATTTAAAATAATTTTTCAAAAATATATAATTGATATGAAATAATTTATACACAAGTTAATTATAATTTATGAAAAAAATATTTCATTTTTCTTCTCGTCAGCCATTTTACTCATAATAATGCTTATGAAAAAATTATCGAAATAAACCTTTTTCTAATTTTCATCTTAACAAAAATATCAATAATAATAATAATTAATATGGAGTCCAAATTTAAATATTGTTTCTATTCTAAACTAATACATTTAAATTTACATTTAAATTTAATGTACAAGAATTAAAAGTTATTTAATAAAAATTGTATATATATATATCATGACTACTACACTATATGAAATCACTACTAGTAGTTGAAACTAATTTACTAGAATTATAAACGTTTAACTATTAGATATATGGACATACATATAATAAGAATATAAAATTGTAATCATCGTATGTAACAAAATCATATACATGTATGTACAATAATCCCTACATAAACTGTATGACCTAGTGTCAATCGAGTACACATATACAAGTTACATAACGTAACACTGACATTAACAAAAGTCCCTCAATATGCAAACATCCACCCCTTTAGAAGTATTGATTTGGTCCCATACAACGTATAGTCATCACAGTCCAAACCACATAAAAATTGAAGGATAAGCTAGAACTCGAAAACATGTAAGCATAGAAAATAATTTTACATCATACAACATCATAGCAAAACATACACAAAAGCCAAACACTTCAAGGCAAACATGTATCTCATCTACACCATATCAACCAAGACATCCGTCAATACATATGAACACGTCACACCATACATCATATGCAAACACCTCAATTCATGCATTGTCATGTATTCATATATGGAGACTCCTAATAATATGAATAGTCTAAACTTTACCTTACAGAATCAACCCAATCATTTTCGCACCTAAAACACTAGCTCGATCACAACAAAATGAGATATCAATCCCTCCTTAGGTTTCTTAGGTATTGTCACTTACACTAAGAAAGTCCAATTTCACAATTAAAAATAATGCATATGAATATATGCTTACCATGACCTTGATATGCATTACCAAGTCACATATTGAGTTCATTCATTGATTATCCTCAAGGAACCACACAATCTTTTCATGTACTTGGTTAAGGTTATAGCCCTCAATTTCCTACCTTACTCAACCACTAACTAAGGATCTAGAAAAGACTCAATACACTTCAATACCCACTCTAAAAGACATATCTACTTAAAAAGGGTTTTTCAACAATGACTTACCCGAGCACCACGCCAAGGTTCCCTATGTGGGATCTTTAGTTTTCAAAACATTTTTCTCTCCTCAAGTCCTAATTTAGCCAACATGCCTTAATGTCATACCACATTTTTAGCATCCACACCTCATGTATACATCATTTACATACACAACATCAAATAAATGCATATAGAGATCAACAATACCATACAAATATACAACATAGATGTGCTCATTATCATCCAACACCATACAATCATCTATATATGTCATATCCAATCAAGATACATAGAACTACAACTTTCATAATTCATGCAACATGGAATACAACTCATACATCTATTCATGTTCACTGTACAACCTTTCAAAACACAACCATCATTCAGGCATCCTACGCTCAACGCAACATACCTCACGTCCAACACTATCGAGACAAGAAACTTTCTACGTCACTCACATCTAACGCCATCCAAACTACGCCCAACTTGGTTGAGGTGGAGATCCCTTTGGACCTCACACCTGGTGTGGCCAAATCGACACCCAACCTCAGGATCTCACCCGATGCCACCTCAGTGGCACCTAACGTCTTCTAAATAGGGAGCCTCTGTTTTGATCACTCTTGACACCATCCAACTAGGGCCCGACGTCACTAAGTCAAGGACCTTCCGACTCTCTCACGCCCTACATCATACCAATCTGAGACGAGTCTTTCTCCTTACATTTGATGCCATCAATCCTATGTTCAACATAAATGAGATAGTGACCTCTAGTTGGAATTGCGCCCGACGCTATGAAGGCACATTTGACATAATATCAGAAATTTGTTATTACAGATTTCAAAAATTGCCAAATCCACTTGAAAAAAAACCCAACCAAACATGCAATGCATCCAAATCCACATACTAACCATATACAACTTGAAATCATCAAGAAACAACACATACAAATCAATTTGCATCATTCACCAAAATCACCCCTATGAGCTCAAAATTCCAAGAACTCAACATGCATCAAAATCTCACCTCAAATTTTGCCTAACAGCCAAGGATTTAAACAATCTCACACACATACAACCCAACAACTCAATAAGAATCAAACCTAACTTCCCTTACCTCAAATCCTAGCCACCAAAAAGAAGAGATGAGGAATACGAAGAAAAAAGCTTCGAGAAAACTCCACACCACCAACAATCCTTAGCTTCTACAACTTTGGATCACCACCCTGAGGATCAACAAAAGCCTTTGATGCTTCTAGGAAATCTAGAAAGAAGAAAAGAAGTATCGAAACTCCATAACTTCTCACTCTACCTTCTTTCTCTAAGATCTTTGAGAAATTGAGTTTAAGAAGTTCAACTCTTAGAAGAAACCTCATATATCTTTTCTCTCAGGATTAATTAGACCTTTGAATAAAGATCCTCGCAGTTCACCCACTCATTTATGTACAATGTTATACAAGTAAATATTAATGCATTTATTTAGAATATCTTTAATTAATATAAGATATAAATTTAGTTTATTTTTAATTAAAGTATTTGTTAGATAAGTTATAAATACTATTTACAAACATCAAATCTACATATTTTATATGCGGATGTATATGAATTAATTAACAATACTTGATATTTATAAAAATATCGATAAATTTGAAATCTTAAGAAAAGAAACGAAACAAAAACATCACAGTTTCGAAACATAGATATTAGATAACAAAATAATCTCAAGCGTGTGATTCAATGGTAGGGGTTGATCCACGCTTAAGCAAGGTCAAGAGTTCGAATCCTGCCTTGTGTATGTAGCTGCGTTAAATCTTGGGACCAACTATCCCATCCTTTGAGGTGCCTCCAACGTAGCGAGGAGATTAGTCACTGCTATCGACGGTGGATAACAAACAAAATAAGAGAAAAAAGTGATTGAGATTTGAGAGACATTTTAAAGGAAAGATAAAATCGACATTCAGTATCAAATATGTTATTTATGTCGCTTTTTAGTTAAAATTAAATGTTTTTCAATAATATATGTAGTACAATATTCTATTAAATATCTATATGTATTCTCAAGATAAGATTTTAATTCTAATTAAAGAAATACTTACTTAGTAGTGTATTTAAGTTTTACTTTTTTAGAATTATCAAGCACCGGTGAAGTGTATGAATCCAAAAAGTCACTAATGAAGTGCATGTTTGGGTAACCTGTAAAATTACTAAAACAATACGTTGGGAGCGCAAAAAAAAAAAAAAGAAAAAAGAAAATCCTTCTCTAAAGATACGTTTATCACTATTCACTAGCCAACAAATTTGCAACATAATCCAGACAGCTGAAAAACCTGGGCGAAAGCCTTACCCAAGGTAAGGTTTTTGCGTCTAGTGGTTGGGTTGGCGAGAGTTTAGAAGTAAACGGCGGAGAGAAGAAAGTAACGAGCGGTTAAATGATGGAGCCCACGGATTCCTCTTCCTCTCAATTGTCAATACCCATACCATACCCAAGCCCAAGGGTTGGGCCCCACTCCCTCCTTCTTCTTACTTCCTTCCTTCCTCTATAAGTACAACAACACCGCGCTTCTTCTCTCCCCGCTCCTTTCGCTAACCCTTCCCTCATTCCCCTATTTCCATGTCCATGGCGCACTTCAACAACGACGATCTCGAGTACGTAGACGACGACTACTACTTCGAATTCGACTTCGACCACCACCACGACACCTCCCACATTGCTCCTCATCCACCCTCCGATTTCGAAGACCACTTCCCAACGGTATCAACTATCAACTATCAACTATCAACAATCAATCTTCCTTCTCTTCTCTCCATCATTCCATTCATCAGTTTCTATTTTGCGACAGAGTAATGCCAAGACTGATACCACTGCTTCGGAAGCCAGAAACGGGAAAGACATCCAGGGAATCCCATGGGAGAGGCTCAATTACACCAGAGACAAATACCGTGAAACTCGATTGAAGCAGTACAAAAACTACCAAAGCCTCTCGCGCTCGCGTTCCGACCTCCACAAGGTTACCGAATGCCGATTCTCTTGGTTGCTGATACGAATACTACTTCATACCGTGTTTTCTTAACCTTTCCTTTTTTGGTTCGCAGGAGTGCTTGGAAGTGCACAACGGGAAGACCTTCTACGACTTCCACTTCAACACCAGGCTTGTCAAATCCACAATCGTGCATTTTCAGGTAGACACTTCGTTCATCGCCGCTTATTATGTAGATTCCCCACATCTAGGCTCATTCATTTGAGATCGTGCTCGATTAAAACATATATTATTATAACATCGTCATTAAATAACTTCATTGGTCTGACATGTTATCGTCTCTATTTTACTTTTGTCATATGATCACTATTTTCATCTGAGAAATGGATTACTTGCTTTGATGCGTGCTGGGAGTTCTCACGGTTGTTGCCAGCCTTACCTGACCGTGAAAAGTTTTGCTATTCTAGTTTTGCAGGGCTATGTATTTTGTATTGTTCTTTTACACACGGATGGAATTAAAGGCGACCTCGTATATATAAGGATTTAAATGAGATCTCTGGTATTTTGCATGTATAAATTCTCAACCAAGTTGAAGTTCCAAGGTTAATATGTGAAAACGTTTTTCTTCCTCTGGAACTTAATATATTATGTCGAAAACCTTTTAAAAAGCTCTGTCCGGGTTAAGTTTTTGTTATGTCCTTCTTTTTCTTTGAAAAAGAAATGAATCTTCTTGATGAATTTTATTTTGTTAAAAATGTTTCAGCAGTTTCCTTATAATTTAGCCAGAATTTTGTTCACCAAATTGTCATATTTTTCGGCAAATGTTTCTAAAGATTCTTTTTTCTTGCCTTATTCACGGTAGTTGTTGTTCAACTTCTTTTCTTTAAAAAACAAAGGGAATCAAATTTTCAAAAGAATTGTGTCCAATAATAGACGCCAGTTATTCTTTTCCACAGACAAGACGGTTTCATGCCAATTTAAGGATATGGATGCATCAAGGCTATGGTATGACATGGCATGCTTATCAGTTTGGTAATTTCCTGTGAAAGGATTTTGTTTCATCTGTATTATGTGCTTACTTGCATCATAACGGTGGTGCACACACAGTTTCCTATCTGCATCCACATGCAACACTTTGAATTAGACTGCCAGAGCAATATCAACTTTGCACCATCTTCTCCCACAACTAAAATAATGATTTCGTGCACAATAATTGTATTATACGAATACTGTGTCTAAGTGGAACTAGCAGAGTCTGACACTATAAAAGTTGGTTACCTTTGTTTTCATTAAATCAGCAATCTGTTTTGGCTTCGGAAGCCAAATATTTTAGTCCTGGGTTAAAGTGCTATCTTATTGACTTCCCGGTGGAAAGCTTACATCTTGAATTCTCTCTTTTAAGTCGAAGGCTTAGTTTACCTGGGATAAAACTTTTGGCAATATATTATCTGTCTTATTCACTACTAGTGTCACAAGGACTATAATATTGGTAAGTTCTGCACTTATACAGTTGCAGGATATCAATAATGACTGCAACGGTGCAACTACAAATGTTTAATAATTCTTGAGCTATAATGTCAATAATCTGTACCGTTTCACATTATTATGTTTACTTTTTATTTATTTTTTTATTATTTTTATGTATGATCAATCCCTTATACTAGCTTGCATTCGCCTTTTGTAATTGATATTTATCTGTAATTTAATTTAATTCTTAACCTGTTTATGCATTTAGGCCTTCTATTTCTCTCTTTATGTCAGCTTTTAAAGCAGGTGGAAAGTGAGCAGCTTGGCAGGACATTATATTATGGTATGATAGGAAAATATCTGACCACATCTGAGAGGGCTCTAACAATATCTGTTACTAGTTAGTGTTGATGTTGTCCTTGTCAAGAGAAGCCTTGCCTCTACATGCTTCACGCTTAGCTGTATATTTCTAGGATCTTCTTGTCTATAGAATAGTTATCATTTAATTATTGTTTACTTTAAGTCCTTTTTTGTAATTTGATAATCTATTACCTGACTGCTGATTTAGATGTTACATTTAGCATTTATTTGAACTTAACTCGTACTGCATGAAACTGTGCCTGTTTGATAGATTCTCTTGTAGTTTAGAAAAATTGCAATTCCACATCATCATCATCATAAAGCGGTTAGTTTTATTTGTTAAGAACTTGTATAGTCAAGTTTTCTTCAAAAGTTTTTTATTCTTACTGGCCTTCCTTTTGGAGATAAATTATGAACTGTGCTGCATTGGTGATTGTTGATTTCCTTGACATTGCATGATTCATTATGTAACAATCCTTTTGTTGTTTCCACTGGCATGGGTGATGCCCATCGTCTTTAACATCCCAAGAAAGAAAACTGCAAAAATAGGAGGCGTTTTCTACTATCTATGAAAGTCCTATATCATATGCTACAAATACAATTCTTGTAACTCAGTTAATAAAATAGGTCTGCAGTTATTTCTGAGTGCATAATTCAGTAATAGTGTAACTCAATGTGGAGTATAGAGTGCTGAAATTTTAGGGATTATTATGGAAAAGGGAAAAGAGAATTTGTTGTGCAGAACACTGACCTTATACTATTTACACTAATCTAGGTCAAGTATAAATACAGACATACATGTCAGTAACAATCACTTTATTCCGAAACAATACTTAATGCGGCAATACTCTGACATGGTATACCCTACTATTCTTAGTTCTTAACAGATTAATTGTTATTTGATAGATAATTTCTAATTAAAGGGTCATGTTCAATTCTGGACTGTGGTGCTTACAGTAATATATGTGGCTTGTTTATGGTATCATATGTTTCTCTTTCTTTTTCCTTTTCGGGTGTTGATATTGATGTCATCAATATATTTCTTGTCTATGCAGCTGAGGAATTTGCTGTGGGCAACTTCAAAGCATGATGTATACCTTATGCAAAACTACTCAGCGATGCATTGGTCCTCAGTACTACGAAGGGGTAAAGAAGTGCTCAACGTAGCCAAACCAATTATTCCAACCCTTGTACGTAGCCACTTAGTTAATCAGATTGTGTTTCTTTTGTATTCAATGCATTGGATAAGAGTGTTCTTCTGTTCCTATGTAGAAGCGTCCTGGATTTTTAGCTCAGCCTGTCTCCAGAGTTCAAATAAGCACCATGACTGTTAAGGAAAATTTGATGGTGGCAGGTGGTTTCCAGGGTGAACTTATTTGCAAGGTAGGGTTGATCATTACTTCGTTAAATCTAATAATTAACTATCTGAAGCCCCTCCATTTAATGCGTGAGTTATTTGTGGACCAGAATTTGAAACATCCTGGAGTTTTATTCTGTGGTAAAATAAGTACTGATGATAATGCCATAACCAATGCTGTGGATGTTTTCCGCAATCCAGCGTAAGCAGCCAAATACAGAACTTTATGTTTGAGTTTTTTGTCATGGTATGTTTTGTAACTGAAACTTCCCTTTGCAGTGGGTCGTTGAGGGTCATCACAGCAAATAATGATTCCCAAGTCCGGGTTTTTGATGCAGAAAATTTTGCTTCTCTTGGTTGTTTCAAGTATGATTGGTCTGTTAATGTGAGTGTCATCAACTGATATTCCTGTGACTATCTTCATCTCTTAAAACATTTTATTGAAATAGAAGTTATGTTTTCATAATGGCCTTTGCAGAATACTTCTGTTAGTCCGGACGGAAAGTTGTTGGCTGTTCTTGGGGACAGTACCGAGTGCTTGATAGCTGATGCTAACACCGGGAAGGTATGTTCAATTTGCAACTGTTTTAGGTTTTATTTTCTTTATTTGATTTCTGATTTGAATAATGTTTTGTATGCTAATGGAGGTGCTCTGATTTTATACATTTTATGATATTGTCCAGATTACTGGGAGCCTAAAAGGGCACTTGGACTACTCTTTTGCATCGGCTTGGCACCCAGATGGACGAATATTGGCCACTGGGAATCAGGACACAACATGCAGGTTGTGGGACATAAGAAATCTTTCACAATCTATGGCTGTGTTGAAGGGAAGAATGGGTGCAATAAGAGCCTTGAGATTCACATCTGATGGACGGTTTTTGGCCATGGCCGAGCCAGCAGATTTCGTCCATATTTTTGACTCGCATTCTGGTTATGTACAAGGTCAAGAGATAGATCTATTTGGCGAGATTGCTGGTATATCCTTTAGCCCAGACACAGAGGCTCTATTTGTGGGTATTGCTGACCGAACCTATGGTAGCTTGTTAGAGTTCATCAGAAAACGTCACAATTATTACCTTGACTCCATGTTTTAATGGAGTGAAGTGCCTTAAGATGTATAGCTATATACTCCATGTGCATATCCACCAGAGGATTTCTAAAATAGGTTTTATAAAATATAAACATGGCGAGATGTTTTCCGGCTACAGAAAAAAGTAGATGTTTTTCGCCGGTTATTTTTCTGTTATTTTAGTGGCGAAGCAAGTTATAAGTTTTGCCTTTGTAAGAATTTCCTTGCTTGGTATTATTGTATATTAAAAACAATGAAATCAAGCTATGTATTGGTTTAAATTGGTTCTCCTGTATGGTCTTTTCCTGTTTTCCGAGTAATTCTTGCGTTTTAATGTGTTATCAGCTGAATGCTTCATGTGTATTAAAATAATGATATGGACTATTGGCATTTTTATTTGTTTACCTTGCTTATTCGCCTTTTATAATAATTTATAATTATGATTTGTGAACGAAAAAACTGATTTTGTAAAGTTTGTTTTCTGACAGGAAATAAATTATAGATAAAATAAGGGATATTTTACATCAATAACTTAATGACAAAAATTAAAATTATAAATTCGTAACTGCCCAAAGTCTTCTATTAAATTTTAACTGAATATTTATATAACTATAAATAAAGACTATCCTAACTTGATATTCTCATCTATTTAGAATTTTATGTTTCTTAACTAATTTTGTGAACTAACTTATTACTATACTGTAACCCAAAAAATAACTACCTTGTTATATTCACTACCAGGTACTTTTATTTAGCCTCTACTCGCTAATTTCCTCTTTTATTTTAAAAATAGAGGGGCAATGTACTTTCCTTTTACCTAGTATTAATAAATGAATTTATTATTAATTTGTTTATTCACATTCTTTAATTGCTAACTTGTAATTATAATTTATTGGGCTAATATTATTTACGTTATTTTTATGAAATAATTGTAATTGAACGCATTAATATTTATTAACTATTTTCATTTTCTTCTAAAGGTTTATTTACATATTGATTTTTATTGTCACTTTTAATATTAAACTTCGAATTCTAGTATCATGGCGTGACAAAAGAAGGGCGTTCCCGAGTGTGTGTATATATGTAAAATGGATTAATATTGGAAACTTACAAAAACAACAAAAATAAAAATAATTAATATAATAATGAGCTTAAATAAAGAAACAAAATATATTAAAGTTTGAGTTAAGTTTAGCTTAACATCATCTTAATTTTTAATTTTATATATAATAATAATAATAATTAGCAGGATTTCTAATAATCCTAAGTGAAGTTGGGTTACTATAGAGGATCGTGTTCCGCATGTGTCATGTGCCCTGCCTCTCGACAGGTGCACAGTTGACACTTGCATGGTTTTTAATTTGGTGTCGGTGCACGTCCATTTCCCCTACGTGGTGACCTACATTTCTTCTGGCCGTGGTAGATGTATATTTTATTCATGTAATCAGAAATTAAGATTAATTTGACCCAAAACATAGAAAATTAAACGCTTTATCATACATAGTGAGAGTGTAATACAAGGCATGTAACTTTCTTTGGCGGGTTGGGGCAGACAGTAGATGGAGAAGGAAACAAATGTACACAGTGCCGTCGACACGACCAACATGCAACATGGTATACCTTATGCTCATTTCAAATATTTATGCTACACATATTCGGTTGAATTGGCTCTCGACTATTCTAAAGCTGATAAATTCGAGTTTGGTGTCCAAATAAAATATGATTATTTTACTACCGACCAAGACAAATCAAGAATTGGGGTTCAATCGATCACGTCGAGGGCCCCGTCATGAAAGCTAAAATGTAAAATCACTCGCTAATAGAGGTCCCATCTGCACACAAGAAAATAAAGTTATGCAAGAAATCCCTGCTGTGAATGGCGTGACGACCCTGGACTTGTTCGCTTTTACTTTTGACCGCAAATTGTGTATAATATTAAATCAACCAAAGGGAGAATATTGTGAATTGTGATCATGTACGCAGAAAGAGAGGAACATGCAATGAAATAAGAAAATTTTTGGTTTTGCTGCAATCTGGATACCGCATACGCGTATATCATGCAAGTGCCCCACAAAAGCTTTCCCTGCGTTTGCGTAATAAGAGCCCAATTTTATACGCTGGCTACCAGTCAATTTTTTATTTAACTTTTAGCACCAACGTTTACATCATCATTATTAAATACAAGCTGCTTATTTTTCTTTCGGGATCATGTGTTAGAATTTGATCATCTGCGTCAAGTTGGGTGTGATTGTTAATTAAAGATTTGAATCTGCTTGAGAGTCCAAGTTATGATAAGTTAGCAGATAACAAGTTATATAAATTAAATGACAAGTTGTTCAGTTGAGTCATTTCTGAAACCGACTTAAGAACAGGTGGTCATTTTCAACCGTGAGAAGGTGGCAAAATCTTCAACGCTAGAACTATCTTCCGAATTTGCAAACTTCTAGTTTTTGGAAACATAACGAGTTCCATTACAGGATCATTAAAGTCTCATCCTTCCCTGTCATTCGGAAGCTCCAAATGACAACAAATGGAACTACGGTAGTCGTTAGTTTACACGTATTCTCTGATTTTAAAATTAGACAAATTTGATATTTTTATCATTTTTTTCTAGTTAAAAAACTTTAAATTCTCATCTTTATCCAAATATTTGAAAGAATTACGATGTATTTAGGATCTAAAATGATTTTAAAAATGTAGAAGAAAAAGATTTAGTAAAAAGTTAAAAAAAAAATGTTTATATGATGTGAAATGAAGGTTCGCAAAGAGTCATTTTTCTATTTTAAACAAAATTTGTGTTTTAATTATTTGGTATGTTTTTAATAAAGAAGATTTAATATTATTTAACAAAATTATTTTACAAAAATAAATTGGGTAAAAAAATAATTTAACAGTTTATGATAATAAAAAATTGACAAAACAATTTACTAGCCACACCGTGATATTCAAAACATGGGAAGCAATACATAAGTAAAGTGTTAAAACCAAGCATTATTTTGATCAACAAACTAGTCACAAGCAGCAAAAGAGAGATAGCATATTAAATATGACAATGAAGGGAGATGGATACAAAATATTATGTAAAAATTATTATTTAAATTTTTGGAACGAATATCATTTTCTTTTAGAAAAATACTAGTCTTCTACTTTATGTTTTTTTTTTTTTTTTGCTCGACGCACTCTTCTTGTTTTGGGGTTTCATAGTTCATATTTGTAGGTTAAACATTAATTGATATTTCGCCATTATGGAGATTTTTTGTTTTTTGGATGAAAAGTACAAGATCTAAATCTAACAGCGGCCCACGATAGGCTAAAGGCGCCATTATGTAGCTAAACATTATGTCAATATTGGCCCGTTATCGTATAGCGAGCTACCTATGCTATGAGTAGTTAGAGGAAATGATATTGGGTTCTCCATCTCCTTACATCCCAATTCATAGTTCCACCCATTTGAAATAGAGAATTAAGAAATAAATAGAAAAATTAGAATAATAGAAATGGAGAAATAAGAAAAAAAAAAATGAAATAGGAAAATTTCTCACCTATTTAGATGAGTAGAAAAGAAATGATATTATAGGAATGAGGAAAGAAAAGCTTGTAACCCCATGCATTAAGTCATTAACCAAGTACTCTCGTTAGAAGAACACTAAGAAAAGGAACTTTAGTCAGAGATATCCAACAGTGATAATTCAATTCGGGTGTTACAATTTTGTATGTGATTCTAATCTTCACACACGCACTCTACTAGCCGTGCTTATTGATGCCATATCTTACCAATCATATAAAAATATGAAGAGAGAGGATCAATTTATCTTGATCCTTCCTCGTTTATGAATGATACTTAAGCACACTAAGGAAGCTAGCAATGTGTTTTACTTTTACATAATTCTAGTTTTGCCTAAGCTACTTCATCCATCACTGCTTTATATAGTTCTTCTGCGTACTCCAACTTTCCAATATGGAAATTGATAACATGTTCCTTCCACTTGGTGTCATCCAGATAAATCTCATAAAAGCTTGCTTCCCCACTTGATCTTACGGTTAATGCAGCACTACTTCTCGTGCCATATAAACCCTGTATATACATGGATATGTTCATTAGCTTAGTACATAAAAAGTTTCATAATTCCATATCATTCTTAACTTACCAGTGGTGTTTCTACTTCAACAAAAATGGAGCTCAGATTGAATTCCCAATCAGGTGAGCATATACGAGGAAGTAGGCTTTTGTCAGCTTTAACTTTGTCCTTCATTAGCATTTGAATTACCTCCTTCACAGGTATCTCACCTTCACCATATTTTGCAATATGTTTTTTGAAACTGAATTCAAGGCGCAGAGCCTGCGTTAAAGGTAACTCAAACTAGGATTATTTTGATAGACCAAATTTCAGAACACATATTTATAGTAGCATTCGCAGAATGTAGAGAGCTGATATAATAGCATTCATATGTTGCACTGTTAATATAAACAGACGTGACGTGATGAAGACATGTACTAGTATTAATTAACCTTATGCCATGGCGAATCTAACTTATCATTTGTAAGTACATGAAGCCCTGGTGGAACTTCTTGAATGGTAATAGGTTGTCCCTTGGGCCTGTTGGAGATGTACACCATTGATTTGGACACAACATCGACCACGATTAAGTTGAAGCCGTTGTAATAATGAGCCTCTGATTTTAGACTTTCCGCAAATTCTTTGGGTTGCTTGTTGCTCTGCCATTATTCATCAAACAAAAACGAATACAGTGAGGAAATATAAACAATCAGTTTTGAGCAATTTATACTCATGCATAATGTGGAGATTGGAAAAGAGTTCGGGTGTCTTGAGATGTAAACCAAACCAAAGAATGGTATTCTTGGCTGAATCTCTTTGAAAAACAAAAAGATCCCCAGTAATAATAATTGTTCTCTTTTATTTGTGCTGTAAAGGGAAAAATCGATGACATAGTTCTTTTGCATAAACAAATGAGGAAATTATACATGTGTTCCTAAGGTTGGCTGCATGTAACCTCTTGATTTTTAATGTATTTACAATAATGTTATTTATAGAAGCACGCAATATTGTTAAAGGTTTGGTTCAGGGGAGGAAAGGAAAAGGAAAGAGAGAGGGAGAGCTAAAAATTTAGTTTGATAAAGGGAAAGAG